TGAGTATAATGAACTCCTTGCTTTTATATGACTGGAGTATAGAGCAAAGAATAAAAACGAAGCAAATAGATTAACTAAGGGTTTTCTTATTTTTCAAAGTAAAGGACAGTTATATGCCTATTTCTCAATTTGCGAGAAGCATCTAGTCTTCTGCTGATCTGAAAGCTCAAAAATTTTCATTTTCATGACTTTAATTTTCAGTGAACCTAGCTCCTTTCAGATACAGCATTGCTACAATATTGTGAGAAAACCCAAACATACGTTTTGTTTGCAGAAGTTATTTAGAATAACTTCTTAATGGCTGCAATCTCGTCCCTTTGCTTTTCAGAACATTCCAGCATTTCAAGCTGTCAGTAAGTTATACAATTAGTGCTTGGCATCATTTTATGCTATTTTACACTGCCTTAGCAGAAATTATGGGTGACAATTATTTTAGAGTCGTTGCTGTCATAATTTAACGTATAAATTGACAGCTGTCCTCTTTTTGGGGAGATCTTTTCTGTGATGAAAACTGCAGCATTCTAGCAGACCATCTCATCGAAACCAACCGAATTAGTTTTAAACTGAACTTTGTGCAAGGGTGCGGGTATGCGTAAGAAATGTGAACATCATCTTCATACAAATAGTCCTAGTAGATATATTAGCACTACGGGCGAGAGTAGCGTGATGTAAAGGCAACAACGAAAGGATTGCCAGATTTGATCAGCAATTTCGTTTATATGGAAAATTCTTTAAATGTTTCCAAATTGATTAATTGGTGTAGCAACTCAAGGAGGAAGGTCTAGGGAAGGAAAAGTGGGCAACCACGACTTGTGACACTGACAAGAAAGGGGTGTTCCTAGAAAGTAGTTTTTAAAAGGTCGAATTAGCAGGGAGCCCTTTCTCCTTTCGGGAATGCGGGGAAAAGAGGAGAGGGTTTTCTATTATAAGAGCTTGAGCTGCTAAAATATAATCGTTTTTTTAGAAATGTTGCATAGCATAAAATCTTGACAATACAAGTCTTCAAATGACATTCAATTGATGTGCTTTTCAGAAATCGAGAGGGCATTCCAGTCTTGCAGGATTATGTTTTTCATTGGACAAGGAATGAACGAAAAGTTGACGGAAGGGTGTAGAATTTATTTGGAAGATTCTATTGACACCATATGCTAGGCTTCAACCATTGTACAAGTAATTGGTGAATAGTTCTCTAGTTAAAGTTCTGCACTAAACGATAACAGCTGTTTATCCAGTGCTGTTTTTATACACTCCTTGCTCATCTGATATCAAGTTACGCTATGTTGATCGCAAACAGACCCAGGGACTCATCCCGACTCTGCAGTCAGGCCGGGATACTATCAGAGCTAGTGATGATCTTCTTTCGTAGATTTTACACACTATTAATAAAATTTTCCCTTTTTCATATTTCCAACTTCCTGCTATAAATTAGTGGCAATGACAAACTCTGCTTATTATTTAATTGAAGAGAGGTCAATAAATCTTTTCTTAGTTAGTTGGCTCTTTTGAGGACACGCTCTTATTTTTTTAATGGTGGCAAAATCTGGTGGCCATAATTATTAGCACTCGATAAGCTCCTGCTTCGCTGTAAATGAAGTCTTCCAAATTTAAATCAATTTGATTTAGTTTACGAATGCTATGGTAGTTTACAACTCAGTTAGATACCCACAGAAAAATTGGAAAATCCAAAAAATGCCTGACAGAATGCTTGCATAGTGATAAACGTTCTTTTTCTGCATTCGTTGCTTCTTCTTCAATGTTTATTGCAAGCAGCTCCCTATAAAACGTCCTCTGAATTCTGTCGGGACTTGGAAAGAGTATGTCAGCTCTTGATAACAAAAATGGTCTACTCTTATTTTGTCCTAGAAACCCTTCCCTTTAATCAATTTACTCCCAATTTCCTCATTGACGCGAATGCTTGCAGGGTTGAACCTCTTGGCGGCTCAATAAAAGCCAGTGCTTGGAACGAATGACACATAATCCAAGCTGTAATCTTATTACT